ATTGTACGAAAAACTGTTCTCCTTCTCATGGACGCAATGTCACATGTATACGCAACGAAACAACCGGTTTTTTTTCATGGGGTACCACACTTATGATCGCTGTAGGTCTGTTATCAAAAGCTACTTGGCGCAAACATCGCATGACCCGAACTTTGCATTAACACAAATAACTCGCCACGCTTATTAACCAAACGCTCATTTCACGATTCTGTTACATCGCTCCGTTGTCTTAAAATTGCACATTCACCACAAATGGGATATTTTTTTAAACATCGTAAAGAGTACAAGGACGTTCCTCGAACGTTTGTGCAGATAGTTGTTCCTTCGCTATCTCCAATCTAACGCCGTACAGTACCAGCTGTAACTCATTCTCCGCCCACACCCCATTGCGCATTGATCGTTCAGAATTCTTTCGTTTCCTATTTTGCCTTATTCAACCAGAACAGTGTTTGGCATATTAGTGCTGTCTGCTGGTATTTCTCAAAATGAATCATATTCTTCCGTTTCCTCACCCCTGCTATTCTCCGTTTGATCGATCGTAATTGTTTTGACTACAAAATTTGTGAAGTGGGAAGAGCTTGGTTGTCTAACTTTGGCATCGTTCTAGCCATTTGATAACCGCTTCTATCGACTCTTAATAAAAGCTATTTGCCCCAAAGTTAACAATTTCTGGCAGACCTAGACGACAGACTTAAGCTTTGCAAACTTCAAATAAACAAAACATCTTCCAGAATATTTCCTTATAGATTTTGGGCTCGAAAAAACTTTTAAAATTATATAAATTTTTGTATACGACATACGCATTTCATGCCAAGTTCTTATTTATTTCACGTTTACATAATATTTTATTTGCACTTTGTGAGATGTTTCTGAGAGATATTTTCCAAACATGTTTCAAGAATCATGAATATTTCAATCAAGACTTAGATTAAACTTGTCAAGAAAAAGGATCAGTCTTTCAAGATACCACGAGATGCGCGCGACTGCGAATCCTCAGATATAAGCGCATTCACTTTACGATTCAAATCCATCGGAAGAAAAAAGCCAGGTGCTGCCTTTAACCAGTTCTGATTCCATTCATCCCTAGATTTTTTCATCCTGTGTTGTAACGCGCAATGTTATTGAAACATCTATTACGATCTTTAGTTAGTAGCTGCGATAAAAGTTTCTTCAGTTGCTTTCATGAAATTATCTTTGCATGATCTCCACCCTTGAGGTAACCATAAAGATAAAAAGGAAGGATTTGTTTCTTCTGATTTTAGCACGATTATAACACAAGCCTTTTTTGCACAGCTGAGTACCCTTTTTTTTCTCATGCAGTATCAATTTTCTGGTCATAAATTATTCCTCAATGTATTTATTGGCCTGATCTGCAATTTGGCTCCTGATTTATATTCCACCATTATTTATTTAAATCTCGAGTAACTTCGAATGCAAAAAATGGATACCAAAGGATATAAAACTAATTACTCAAAAATTATATAATCTTATACCCCGAAGATTCATCTCAAAAACAAAGATTGAGACAGTCGCACTAATTTCCATGTTTCTTATCATTGAAAACTGCATATCTATCAATATCATAGTTGCTTCCTCATCTTATCTCAAAAAAAACTTCCATACTCTGTGATTCCAAGAAAGTATTTCCCTTAATAACAAATATTGACATAAATTTGCTGGTTAAACACGCGCTCTTTTCTTTCAGCTTTGTGAAACAAGACATAGATAGAACACTTAGTTTCTAA